AAACATACCAAGGGAACATGAATCAAATATGCACTTTTATTCATTTACAATAAACTCATAAAGTACATCATTCTGATTGAAGCTAAGAGCATACAAAACTGTCCAACATTGATTTGGGTCTAGGTTTTATTAGTTAAAAAGACGACCAATAATGGAATCACACTTTTTAATGGTCAAATGGAGAAGTTTGGTCGTGAAATTTGACGTGCTAGGGTTTTTTTGGGTTTTTGAACACAATGGTGAGGTCTGATTGGTCAAATGAAGCTGGGAGGATGGACAATAAGTTCTATTCGATGAGATTTGATGAAATAGGGTCTAGGCTTGGTGGCGGGTCAAACAGGGGAATTTTAAGCTAAAATTTGGTGGGTAAGCATGGATTAAGGTGATGAGTCAAGTGGATGGTTATGATCTGATAAAGAAATGGTTAATCTAGGTTTTTCAAATCTAGTTGTGTGGGGTCGTCAAAATGGAATTTTAGCAATTTTGAGGTTGATCGTTGTAGACTTGCAATGAGAGTCAATAGTTGATTGTATCCTAATGATCTTGAGGCGATTGTATCCTAATGAATGGTGGATGTGCGACTAATATATAGTTTACCAAGTCTATAAGCTATATTTGATTGGATGTTGATGTTGATCTCGAGGTTTTCATTTGTCTTATGGATTATGTTAGAAAAGAGATTTTTGGCTTTGTAAAGTCTCAATTTGATCTAGTTGTGATTTCATGTTTTAGGGTTTAAAAGGATGGTACGAAGAGGTAGAGTGAAGGGACCGAGCAAAAATTGGATGCTGACAGCTACTGATTTTGCGTGTTCGAACTCCAGCGAGCTATGAGACTCCTCAACATCGAGCTGCTTCACTCATTGGATGTCATCAGCATATTTGGTTTGCCTTTCCTCGAGCTGTCAAGCTTGTTCTCCCACCTTGGTGATCAAGCTAGCAATGCTACTCTTCACCTCATCTAGTTGGCATGTCAAACTGGTCGATGCATTGAGGAATCTCTACCGAGCACCTTCTAGTTTTGACTGAAGAGACTCGATCTCAACCATCATCTTCGTGGCGTTGTGCTCCAAAGAGAGGGCGCAGTCATACAAAGCCCAACTCATGCAGTTCGCTTACAAAAAAATAGGCAATTCGCAAAATATATGTATACGAAAAGGAACAGTCAAAGGGCGGCGAACACTTACCAACAACGTATCTTGGATCATCATCGCACCGAGGTCGGCGATGCCCTATTGGAGATAAATTTGTCAATGCAAAATTAACCCAATTTTACAATTTATATGAACCATGTTACACTCTACATATTTACATTCAGACTTATTCGCATTGTTTCCAAATGCAACTTAATGAAAATAAAATTGCACACAACATTGTGTGGTTTACTTGTTCTATTAGAAGCATCTAAACCTGGACATTTGAACCAGAGTTCTGTTCATTTATGATCTCATTGTAAACGATCTTATTTCTTAATAGATGCTTCGTTTACTTGATTTAAAAAAAAAATAAAATAAAGAATCTGAGTTTTTTGTTTAATTTTTTTCTTCCTTTTAGAACATGGAAGTTAGGCCAGTTAAGGCTTATTCCATGGTTATCTAATGAAAAATTTGCAATTTAATAGCAAAAGAATCTAATACTGGCCTTCCTAACACTTGGGTGTTCTTCATATAATACAAACTCTACGTCATGTCGTCATCCATTTACGTCTAAATCAAATGAGAATGCATCCTGACCCTGAATTGATGTTAAATTCACGAGCAGAATGTGGTTTATAGGGAGAGAAGACTAGTAATAGGAAGAGAGGGCTGAAATTCAGAATTCTGCATCGTGTGTATCAGTACTTGTCTGTAATTTCTAAGTGATTTTTTAATTTTAATTTTCTCTAATACTGTTATATTAGGTGTTGAAATAGTTTCAAAATGAAGGCGTCAACTGGTTCACTTGCTAACGCACGGTCTTTGGCTGGGCGTAGCGGCGGAGACTTGACCTGGCCGTTCGCCGTTGTATTACTTGTGTGACGAACAGATCCCAATTCACCCAATAAAATAGTTCTTTTCCGGGGTATGGGCAGGTGCAGCTATGAATATCAGTGGATTGTATTAAGTGGTAAACCATATTGACCTGATCCTAACGGGTTAGGAATGAAATCATCTTTAATCATATCGGGTTTCATGTTGGATGAGTCCATGTTGAGCCTAACCCTTGTATAAGATTCGATATTCCCTCTTATGGGTGGATTTGAGCCAGGCCAATCCCAATATTACACTATTCAAATTTGGCTCAGCAAAAAAAATTATTTCTTATTATATATATCAAAATTAAAAATATTATATATATATATATATATATAATATAAATTTGTTTGAGCTCACAGGCTTCATACTCCAAGTTTATCTGGGCTTGAATTAGATTAAAATTTAGGGCCTGTTTGGTGCACGGAAAATCTAGTCACCAAAAAACGGAATGCCGAAAAGACGCGAAAAATCTATTTTGGGCTGATTTCAGAAAGCTCCAAATGAAGTTTCTGGCATTTTTCGCATTTTATTCTTGTGTTAAAAGACACGGAAAACGTGCATCTGCCAAACATATTTCGAACTGTTCAGATTTTCATGCAAAAACTCGATACGTCTTTTGACTATTAGAACTATTAGAAGATCTTCCCAAAAAGACTCGCCAAATGGATCCTTAATATAGACTGAATCTAGCAAGTTTTTTGTAAGTGAAAAGCTCCATTCATATCCACTCCCTCTTCAATTAATCGGGTCAGGTTGGGTTGGCCATGCTTCGAGTTAGGGGTGGAGCCAAATATACTCGTGTAGGGTTCTTGCCCCTCCACACCACCACAAACTCTTAAGGATCAAATTCTATGGCTCCTCCAACTCCCAAAATTAATAAAAAAAAAGGAAATTGTCTAAAACTCACCATGAGTTTTCAACATTTCTCTTAAACTCATCACAACTTTTCAAAATGTCTAAAACTCACCATGTCAATAAGTTTTTATTTTTCAAAACTTACCTTCCGTTAGTGCACCGTTAATGTTTCTTAACAGAAGTGTCCATGTCGGCATAAATAACAATTTTTATGACCAAATCACCCTTGAATGACGAGTTAGAGGAAAATGGTCTTTTTCATTTTTCAATTTTCTTTTCTTTTTTACATTTTTAGTGTTTTGTTATAATTTCTAATGTTTTTTATAATTTCTGTTTTTTATATTTTTCTATTTTCTACCATTTATAATATTTCCTGTGTTTTTTTTTTATTTATTAGCAATTTCTGTGTTTTTATATTTGAAAATATTTTTTGAACTTTTTCCTTTTTTCATATATAAATATTAAAATATATGTATATATTTTATATTTTTCTATTAAGGTTAAAATAGTAATGTATTAACAGCGGTCAAGTTAGTGACAAGGTGAGTTTTAGACATTTTAAAAAGTTGTGGTGAGTTTAAGAGAAATGCTGAAAACTCGTGGTGAGTTTTTGACAATTTCCCAAAAAAATGTTTATTTTTTCTTTAAAAATTATATTATACTCCCAAATTTTCTCCGAGCCCTACTTCGACTCTCTATCTCATTTTCTTATTTAAGTTATGAGTTATGACTCTATCAAGATTAATCAGCTTGACAGATTTCCCATATGATGCCCCCTCAGCTCCTAATATAAAATGCTTCTCTTTACTTTAAAAACCTTAAGCAGAGCCCAACTTGCAATCATTTTTAATTCTTGGGCCTATGGCCGCGGCTTGACAAGCTGCCGCACAAACATATTCAGGAGTCAGGACAATGATAGCTCAACTATCTCAAACCAATGCAGCCATTAATTATTAAGTTTCTAGGCAACCAACATCATGATCTCTTCCTTAGCCATTCAATCATGCATTCATGAGACTCAACCATGGATTTTAGCAGATTACAAGATTTCCATCTTGAATCTCCAAATGTCCTAATTGTTCAGTCTCCCCTTCTTGCTCTCTTCTTATTCTCACTTGCCTCCTGTGCACTATCAATGCCGTTTCCTTTCCGCTTCGAAAATTCAGCAAACGTGGTTGCGAAATTAGGGAATTCGAGTGCTGGATCGGATAACCAGAGTCCGGCGACGGGAGGAATAAACAATAGAGGATTGGTGGCAGGACTGGCTGCTGGTGCAGGTATTTTCTTGGTGAGCTGCTTGGTTGTTTTCTGGCTTGTCTTGCGGATAATTAGGAAGAGAGATAGAGAGAAAGAGGATGACACTATCGTCCTTGACGATTCGATGAACGATGAATTCGAGAAGGGAACGGGACCTAAGAGATTCTCATATGGTGAATTGGCTCGGGCGACAAGAAAATTTGCAGAAGAACGAAAGCTTGGAGAGGGAGGATTTGGAGGGGTTTATAGAGGTTTTCTGAGAGATGTCAAGATGGATGTGGCCGTGAAGAGGGTGTCCAGAGGGTCTAAACAAGGGGTGAAGGAGTACATGTTGGAGGTGAAGATCATTAGCCGATTGCGGCACAAAAACCTCGTCCAGCTTGTTGGTTGGTGTCATCAACACAGCGAACTACTCCTTGTATATGAATTCATGTCCAATGGGAGCCTTGATTCCTATCTCTTCAAGCACAGAGGCTTATTGACATGGGACATAAGGTACAAGATAGCTCTTGGCTTGGCGTCTGCTCTATTCTATCTGCACCAAGGGTGGGAACAATGCGTCCTGCATAGAGATATCAAGTCTAGTAATGTGATGTTGGATTCAAGCTTCAATGCCAAACTTGGGGACTTTGGGCTGGCCAGACTCATAGATCATGAGCAGCGGTCACAGACAACTGTTCCGGCCGGTACCATGGGTTATATGGCTCCTGAGTATTGTATAACAGGAAAAGCTAGCAAACTCTCGGATGTCTACAGCTTTGGAGTTGTTGCGTTGGAAATTGCTTGTGGAAGGAAGTCTGTAGAGCTCAAATTTGAAGAGAGTAAGATGTTGGTGGAGTGGGTGTGGGAGCTCTATGGAAAGGGGGAGCTTCTTGAAGCGGCGGATTCAAGGCTAAGAAACTTGGGATTTGATGAGAAGCAGATGGAGTGTTTGCTGATTGTTGGGCTGTGGTGTGCTCACCCAAATTGCAGGAGTCGACCTTCCATAAGTCAAGTGATCCATGTTCTCAGTTTTGAAGCTCCATTGCCCACTCTCCCTCCCAACATGCCTGTGCCCTTGTACTCTGCCCGTTGGCCTTCTTCAATGGATGTGTCTTCCTTTCCCACTACACCATACTATGGAGTTAGCAATAGCCAACGAGATCACACCAAAAGCTCGATCAACAGCTGCACCACCGATTCATCCAGGTTGACCACGGCTTCTGCTGCTTCTTCATCTACATCTTTTCTATTGCACCCACGGTACGGTAATTTGAAACTCGTAAATTGTATTAAAATTTAAAACCCCTAAATACAAATCACGCAATCCTACCATCTCAGGTCATTTTGTCCTTTTCCTATGCTAAGATGTCATAGAGTTTCATCCATACCACAGCCCAATTTTGCCTATTGCCACCTCAGCATGAGGCTATGATGAGGTGTCATCTGTAGTCTCTACACCCATCAGCAAATGGGTCTCGCCTAATAGATTGATATATATCATAATTTCAATATACTATTCATAGTTATAATTAGATTATTATTAATTGAACTTGTGGAAATAATTAATTCTTTGGAGTTTTGATAATCTGAATACTATACGCTGTTGTCCCTTGAAGAAAATTTTAATGTGGACCTATTCAATTGTGGCGTCTCATTTCTTTTTTGTACCTGGGAACTTGAATTTGCATTTCTCATTTCGTATTCACAAGATCCCTCTTTACACCATCCTCACAGCCCTTACTTACAGTCGTGGGAGATATTTCCAATGCACAGCTATAAGGGCTGTGAGGATGGATTTTGTGAAGACGAAATGCGAATTCTAAGTCACCTACTCTATTTTATATACTTAGAATGCAGTTGTTTATTACCCAAAAAAAATGGGAATGTATTCGTGGTCTCTCTCCTTCCAATTCCCCTTAGAATTTGCGTTTTCCTTGAAATTTTAAAAATTAAAATAAACAAATATGGGGCTATTTAAACTTACCTACGTCAATTCAGTTTTGGTTTTTCACTGGAAAAATTAAATTAAACAAATATGGGGATATTTAAATTTCAATGTTGTACGTCCACCAGGGGGCAAAGCGTTGGAGAGCAAAGGCAGCCTGTGAAGGAAGGAAATGAGCTTGACGAACCCATGGATCGCCGCCCCTCGTTCAACTCGCAATGGTCAGATTATGTAATTTGATTGATATATATATATATATTTGTATTTGTTAAAGAATTGATTTGACATTTTCCTTCAATTAATTATTTGCTTGTTTCGTCTCCACTAGTTAATTAATTGCAATAACTTAGCTGTATATTGTACAGGAGAGATTTGAATTGTACATTTTCCTTTCCTTTTTTTTTTTTTTTAATGTAGAAAACGCAGATTTGCTTTCATTAAGATTCAAACAAAGCATCAGGTGCAAATAAGAAGTAGAGAAATTAAAACAACACACAGGATTTTACCCCGTGTGTTCAAATCGTCACCCGGTTACAATTCAGGATCCAGTTTTTTTATGATCAGGATTTGATTAAAATGGTTAAATTAAGAGATGGTTCAACGTCTGGATCAGTTTTTAAAACAGTAATTTTACAAAAATACATCCAAGAAATGATCAATCACAGAACAAATAAACTAATTAAACAGCGAGAATAAATCACATGTTAAGCGTCCACAAACGGCACTGAAGGACAGAGGATAAAATTCCTCCAACAAAGGATTAAACTCGGGGAGATAGGTGATATTTTCCATTAGTCCAACATTAGAAATTTGCACTTCACGGGAGGACGTCTCAAGTAGCTAGGGATGTCACTGGGTGAGGTTAAGTGGCAAATCTGCACTAACCTGACCCAATAATACTGTAGCATTGATATATAATAGTTAAAATTACATTCTGTGCGCAAGTAAATATTAACGTACCACATATGAAATATGATATTTAGATTTAAATTTTATGACCTATACAAAACCCAAGTCAAGTATCTGTTTTACGTTTAACAGCTTAAGCTTTTGGCTGATAGAGAGAGAGGATAGATCGGGTTGGGTTTGATAGTCCCTCTTTAGTTAAATCGATAAATGGATATTTTACACCATAAAATATGTCATATGACAAATATTTTAAGGTACCTTACCTAACAGCTTAAGGGTTTTTAGTTGAATGATTCCTTAAAATGTTATTAGAACCTGCTTATTAAGGGGATGTTTGGAATCGTAGCCGTTTTTCAAAAAAATGGTGTCACGTTGGATCCAAATAGGCGTTTCAACAAACGCTTATGTATCTCATTGTTTGGTTCAATCAATTATTAAAAAATCGGGCATGCCTCAAAAATTGGGACCTTGGGTATTTCATGCATCAGTAAACTGTTACATACATGAAAAACGATGATGAAAATCATCTTACCAAACAGCATACTGTTGCTCACTGCCTACATGGCAGAAGCGTTTTTTGTGAAAAACAGGTCTTGGAAGCATGGGCGTTTTTTTTTGAAAATTGGTCCCAAAAAGAACCCACACTTCCAAACACCATGTAACAAAGTGGTTTAGTATTTGATCCTCACCTTCCCCATTATAATTAATTAAGTTTCAGCACAAACCATAAGTACGTGTGTTTAACAGATCTAGAATCCTCAACTGTTGAGCCCCAACTGATAGTTCATGTCCAAAATCTAGTGATGCAAATGGATCGGATCATGATCTGATCCTATTTTATTGGATTCTGATACCTTTCCTTCAGATTGGATTGAATAATAAGATCTGATTAAAAATCGGATCAAATTCGGGTCACCACCTATCCGATCCGAAAACGATCTAATCCAATATATATCTTAATATAATTTGTTCAGGAATTACTTTTTCGTCACTTGGGTTGGTCATTGGACGAGGCTGACTTGGTTTTAGGTATATATAATAGATTTTTCGTGCCAGTTACACTTGTCTATGGTCTTACACCGGGTTGTAGGTATATATAATAGATTTTTACTAATTTAAAGTCAAAATAAATTTTATTTAAAAATAATGAAAATTAATACAACATTTGACTAATCTCACGTAAGCAAGTTGGATATATATATATATATATATATATATTGTATTTTATATTATATACATAAATATTATAATAGACACATATAATACATATTGATGTGGGGTGACCCAACCCAGCCCATTTGAGGCTGGGAGGCCTAGCCCATGAGCGCTAGATTCGAGAACAAGATCCGCTACAACAGGGGTTACTCTACTTCCCCGTATAGAGCTAATTGCAGAGCGCCCATGCATCCCCGCAGAGCTCTTTGATTGCCCTTGTACAACATTCATCTCAGGCGTTCATCTCCACCTATCTTCAAGCAGCTCAAGTATAAATAGGGGTGCCCCCCTCCAGGTAAGGGGAGGAATCGAATACAATCTACAGTCTGAATTTGGAACTGTGCTCACAAACCATATCTTGGTTCCCCTCTTCGTACCATGTACTAACTTGATCATCAGAGTCTCTGCCTAGGATTCTCACCCGGGGCCTCTGACGTATTTTGTCTTGTAGTACCTCGGCCACCCACCTTCAACTTCTACAGTGCTTGAAGCCTCCTCCGCCTCAGCCTACATACCTTGGCCTCGGCAGCAACCTCTCCGAACCCTCAAAACCTTCGGTCAGCCTCCAGAGTCTAGGGACGAAATTACTTTGTTGTCCTCGGCCAATCCGAGCATCAACAATTGGTGCCATTTGTGGGAACCATTGTTAAGACGTTCCCTAAAAAGAACTTTGATAAGCTATCAAGTCCCTAAGCTCCAACCAACCAACATGGTACGAAGAACAAGAAATACACAAAATCTTGTCACCAATGAACAGTTCTAGGCCATGCTCGACCGCCTGGAATACTTGACACAGCGAGTCGAGTAGAACTACTCCCAGGAAGGAGGTCGCCCCCAGGGTCCGCCCCGCCGGGGAGTCCACACAGCCGGGTCGGCATGGGTCCACCAGCCAATCGGTCCCCAACCTTGGCCACACGCAGCGGACCAAGCCCTCCGAGTCTGGTAGCATTCATCCAGCCGACCCGCTCTCCCAGACCTCCCAACCGAAGGGAGGACAACTCCAAACCTCCTAGCCGAAGGGAGGAAGAACCGGAACCAGGAGCAAGAACCCCACTCCTTCACGGACGAGGACCTGAAGGGGGGTAGCAGTCCCCCATGACGATGCATTGGTGGTCTCGTCCGTCATTGCAAACTTCGTAGTCAAAAGGATCCTTGTTGACAGTGGCTCCTCAACCGACATCCTTTTCTACGAAGCTTTAGAAAAGATGAAGATAGCTCTGGAGCACCTCCAACCAGTAGAAGCCCCACTAGTTGGCTTCTCTGGCAGCATCGTCAAACTAGAGGACAAGATTTCCCTACCAGTCACAGTAGTGACAGAGCCCCAGCAAGTGACAAGGATGACAGAGTTCTTGGTCGTGAAGATTGGCTCACCCTACAACGCCATCATAGGGAGACCAACTCTTCACGCACTCCGAGCAGCCATCTCCTCCGAACGCCTTGCCTTGAAGTTCCCTATCGAGCACAGTGTCGGAGTTGTTCGTGGGGACCGGCATGCCGCCCGTCAGTGCTATGTGGCAGCGCTAAAGGGCAAGAATAAAGAAGCTCTGCCACAAGAGAGTCTCGACCTCAGGGAGGAGCCAGCGAGACGAGGACGAGCCCGACGAGGACGAGCCCGACAAGACAGTACGCGTCGGGTCCAACCTTCCCCCCGAGAGTCTATCCGAACTGGTGAGTTTCCTCAGACTCAATGTCGGCATCTTTTCTTGGTCCACTGTTGACATGCCCGGAATTTACCCCTTGGTCATTACGCACAGGCTGAGTGTGGACCCGAGCTCTAGGCCAGTTCGGTAGAAGAAGAGGAACTTTGCACTGGAGCGTTGGAAGGCCATAGAGGAGGAAGTTGAAAAGTTACTCGATGTTGGCTTCATCCGAGAGGTACACTACCCTAACTGGTTGTCAAATGTGGTTAGGGTAAAGAAAAGATAATGGGAAATGGCAGATCTGTATTGATTTCACAGACATTAACCAAGCCTACCCCAAGGACAGTTTTCCTTTGCCGATGATAGACCACCTCATTGATGCCACTATAGGGTACGAGCTACTTAGCTTCATGGATGCATTCTCCAAATACAATCAGATAAAGATGCACCCAAATGATGAAGAGAAGACCTCGTTCATCACTGAACATGGCACATACTGCTACCGTGTAATGCCCTTCGGCCTCAAGAATGTTGGGGCCACCTACTAGTGCCTTATTAACAAGGTGTTCAAAGAGTAGATGAGGAGGAACGTCAAAGCCTATGTGGATGACATGGTAGTGAAGAGCCTGAAGGCTAGGACCCACATCTTCGGCCTAGCCGAGACCTTTGACACCTTGCGGAAGTACAATATGAAGGTCAAACCTAGAAAGTGTGCCTTCGGCGTCACATCAGACAAATTCTTAGGTTTCGTCGTCACTTAGAGAGTCATTGAGGCTAATCCTGAGAAGATACAGGCACTACTAGACATGGCTCCCCCACGAACGGTGAAGGAGATCAAAAAATTCACCGGCCGAATAGCAGCTCTCAATCGCTTCATGTTAAAGTCAACCGACCGCTACCTACCCTTCTTTCGTGCCATCAAGAAGCTGAAAGAGTTCCAATGGACAAAGCAATGCTACTGTGCCTTTGACGAGCTCAAAGCATACCTTACTTCGCCTCCCCTCCTAGCTCGGTCGGACGAAGGGGAAACCCTATACCTGTACCTCTTGGCCAGGGATGAAGTAGTTAATTCAATCCTCATTAAGGATGATGGCGTGCAGAAGCCAGTTTACTATGCTAGCAAGGTCCTCTACGATCCGAAACCAGGTACCCCGAGGTAGAGAAGTTGGCTTTCTCCCTCGTGGTTTCAGCAAGGAAACTTCAACCGAGGCCCACACTGTAGTGGTCCTGATGAACCAGCCCCTCAAGGCTGTCCTCGCCAAACCCGAGGTCTCAAGACGCCTGACGAAGTGGGCTGACGGCTCCTCCAATGCTAAAGAAAGTGGAGCGGGCCTCATCCACCTCACCCCAAATGATGTTGTCCTAGAGTACGCGCTATGGTTCGACTTCCCAGCATCAAACAACGAAACCAAGTATGAGGCCCTCCTCGCTGGTCTCCAGCTTGCTAGGGACCTCGACTCCTCACACGTTGAAGCCTTTCAGCGACTCTCAGCTGGTGGTGAATTAGGTGAACAACGAGTATGAGGCTAGAAAACAAAGCATGTCCAAGTACCTCGCCAAAGTCCAAGATTTAGCCCGCCACTTCCAACGC